GATTTTTAGCGCCATCGTCGGCCAATATCATAGGCGAGTACTTGCCCTCAAAGCCAACCTGATAGACCCTACTGATCACGACTTCTTACCAGGATTCTAGACAGCTTCGTCGCGTAGTCAGTCGCCAATGAACACTAGATGAACTTCCAAGTGCTGCTTCAATAAGGATTTGAGTGGTTTAAAGTTTGAACACGGATTAATATCATTTAGAGAACTATTGAGGATAAATAGGTGTTGTAGGCATTTACTGACCGTGTTACTAAAAAGTTAAACATTAAAAGAGATTAGAAATAATGTGCATTCAGATTCATTGACAGTGGTTGAATAATTAACGGGTTCACAGCTGGTTTCGATCAACGGTGGGGTCATGGGTGCGTACTGCCGAATAGTGCCTAACTGGGATGAAAAAGCTATTCAGTACTCCCTAGTTTACAGCACTCCCCTGGCTGATGATAGTCAGCGGAATTTTACAGTTTAACAAAACACAGTCATTTATATACAGTCAATTCTGATTTTCCTGTTGACTCATTTGACCTAAATATTCAGCCTCTGTCAATATGTCGGCTTTTAGTAAGGAAACTTTCACCATTTCTGAAGAGTGTCATGAAGTAATTTGGTAAATAATGACTAGAATTGTGATCCAGAATGAGCATTTCGTCCGTTTTGGAACTTGTCAACTCGATGTACCTGCATTTTTCAGTATTTGCTGGCGCTCTCGCTGAAACTCGAACTTAGTACACCTCATTTAGAACGCGAGAGCGTTAGCGATGACAGCCACCTGTTGTGCAACTGGCATCAGTTATTGTTTGTCCCAGATGACGAGTCCCAAACAGAACAAAATGTGCATCCGCGATTCCACTATCTGACGCGATCCACAGACGAAACTCGACTGTCCATACACCTCTGTTATTTCGCAGGCAATATTTCCATCACTTAAATTTATTCGGAAATATAACATTCATGTGTAAATAATTAGAGAACTGTAGTGCAGATTTCACAGCACCAAAATCAGCCGAGGCCCAGAATAAATAGATCACACTGAATCAACTTAATATTAACTGAACAAACGTCTAGACTACCTGTGGATGCTTTAAATGTCTTAGGTTTTGTTCTAACGAGTACACATCCAGATAGGTTTGGATGTCATTTTGCGCTCCTTCCTTTTACAATTAATTGGCACAGTCTCAGTGTTCGTAGTTCAGTCATACTGAACCAGATAACTTTTAAATCTTTTCCCTGAATAACCTTAACTTTTTATACTATTTAAGTATACCGCTCCTCAGTTTGTATTCCTAAATGACTGAGCCTCTTTCATTTGAGTCAGATAGAGTAGTGACTGACTGATTAATTAGGTTTAGTACAGCTGGTATAGTGTAGCTAACAGATGGTACCACCAGTAATTTACAGATGCAAGAAGAGAAGGACTAGTCTAATTCACTATCGTAATACAACCCCTTCCCTGCCAATATCAGTTAGAAATGAATAATAAAGTGAGGAAGGAGATCACAAGCCACAAAAATCAAAAATATACCGTTAAAAAAGTAAACAGACAATGAAACTGACAAATTTCACGCAGGTTTTTCTGGTCAAATGAGGAAATATCGGCAAAAAAAACAACAACAACCAGTAGTAGCAATAAAATCAAGATATTTTTTATAGCAATTATATGACTAACGCCCACACATACTATCACTGCTACTACTATTCATATGTATATATATAAAAATATATATATATATATATATATATATATATATATATATATATATGTACACATAATTATAACACCTCATAAAACATCTGATAAACATAGTCAAATATGTACATATATATGCTTGCGAACGAGATCAAATCCATACTCATCGATTATTCAATAATGTCAGTCAGTCAATCATTCAATTAGCCAGTCACTGAACTAACCAATCAGTGAATGGAGGAACGAACGAACGAACAGTTAACTTTCCAATAAACGATAATTGGAATGGTTAGCCTACTTATTTATATGTATATATATAGTCTAAATGACGTACAACAAGAAAATCATAAGAATACAGCTAGAACTTTCATCAGGTTAATTTTACCGGGACAGAGTACAGCAAAAAAGAGGAGAAGGACAGAGAGAGTGTGTGTGTGTGAATGAGTGAGGTGGAGAGAAACGGAACTATACATTCGTGTTATCACAGATTGCCTCATTTTTTCATCCTTATTATTGATAAGACCATTATTATACATTATTTATCAATATAAGAAGAGAGAAAAGACAGAGAATAAAAATATTTGAGGAAAAATAACTGTTTCTATTCCTTTCCTTTCCTCAGAGTAAATATAATTGACAGAGGAGTGTGTAGGAAATTTAAAATTAGGTCACGTAATAATTTAGTTAGTTAAATAGGAATCATAGTGAGAAGATAAAAACAACTTTTAGCCACAGTATGACTAGAACTGTTTGCCGGTAAAAATTCACAGGAAGAAACGTCTTAATTTTTCTGTATTGCCAGCATAATAAACAATAAATAAATAAATTTTCAGGTGTTGGCTTGCAGGGATTTGATTGTTTACAGGTTTTATCACGACAGAGAGAACCAATGGGAAAGCACGGAGTACTGAACAGTTGTTTTGTCCTGGTTTGGAACTCTTCAGCAATAGTTACCCATCACCAGGGTTCGAACCTGAAACCCTCCGGTTACAAGATGGACTCGTAGACATATTAAGCCACTAGGACTCGACCCCTTAGGCCTATAAGTTCCAACTTCTGCCAATTCCCGATATATGTAGTGTAATGGCGAGTCAATGTCATCGGCGAATAACTGTCCTCTTACCAGACTTGTTGAACGTCGCTAGTCACCGATTTCCACCAGAACTTCAGGTAACTATCTGTAAATAACCAGTCGCTAATAAGCATCAGACTGATTTTCAAGTTCTGTTTCAAAAAATATTTACAACTATCAAGTAGACCGTGGTCTTCAATTGTTCCCCAACAAATATCAGCTCGCGATCAAATAAATTAATGTTGAATGATACTGAAGATATTGTATTTTACACTTCTTCACTCCTTTGCTTTCTCTGCCTTGAAATTTCTGTAGTGACTGAGCTGAGTTTTCTTGGTAACACGGCTAGCCACATACTCAACCTTCCCTACTTTTTTTGAGCTGACAACTGGCTAGCAAACTAGGCTGAGTTTACTGGATACTTGATAAATGAGTTTGGGTTAAAGAGAAAAAACCGTCTGGTTTGCAAACAACTAGGGCAGAAATATTGTGTCAAGTAATCATAAAGAAATGATTTACTTTATTACAAAACAGTAAACATGAAATCGTCTAGGGATTTTCCCTATTTGCTACAGTACTCAGCAAACAACAAAACAAAAATCATTACAGGGTATAATAGCAAATATTTTTGACATTACCAGTAACAATAAAGTCAAAATATACAAAAGTGTAAGATGATAATAATAATAACTAAAACTGATTTTTTCGAGTTTCACCCCGGATTAATATCAGTTAGAGAACTATTGAAATCCAGGGAATACTGTACAGCTGTTTCATCCTAGTTTGGAAATCATCGACAGTACGCACCCACTGTGCGATGACATTGATTGGTGGTTGCATCAAATCACGAATTGTTAGAAGTTAGAATTCATAAGCCATTGAATTGGATCCCAGTGAGTGAATGGGTATACAAGCTTGCCTTGTGACCGGAAGGTTCTGGGTCTGAACAGAAGTGGGTGCGTATTGCCGATAATTCCCAAACTAGACTGAAGAAACAGTTATCGAGTGCTCCTTAGTTTTCAATGGTTCTCTGACTGATATCAATCCGTGGTCAAAGTCGAATATAAAAATCTAATCCTTACAAACTAACTATTGAAAATAACTAAAAGTGCTATATTTCTGAAATGGTATAACGTGTGGGCCACAATTTAGAAATTAATTTATGATTATTTTTTATCGCTTAATTTATTCTTATACGTTCCCAGTGGAACATAAGGCTTCAAGTTTCTGTAGCAGTGGTAATTATTTTTACAGGATGGGTTTGCTAGCCTCATACCTAACCTTCCCTCTTTACCAAGTCTTACTACTGGCTCAGCAAGGTAAAGGAGTGTGCCGGCCGAGAATTAAACCGCGGACCACCTGTGTGGTCAGCGAGAACTCTACTGATGTGCCACCGACTTATTGTTTCCCTTTACGTTGCGAGGGGAAAATAAGGCTTCAAACTTGAGCTTTGGAGTTTCGATAGCAGTGGTTTTGTTATTTTTACAAGGTGAAATTGTTAGACTTCATGTCCAACCTTCTCTCTTACCCGACTTAGTAAGGTTTAGGAGTACGCCGGTTGGGGACCTAACCCAGGCTACATACCTGTCTGGTGAACCGCTGAACCAGCGATGTATATGAGTTTATGATACCTACAGAATACTTCGTTTTCCTGTTCAAATGTCTTAAAGTTAACTCAAGATTTATCCTCAACTAGAAACAACTTTCCACAAGCCTACTTGACTCTATCAATAGTTACCTTACAGGTTCATAATTATCTGAGAAAAGCTTGTCGAATTTGTATATATACAACCTTAAAAATTATTTTGCATAACGCTTCAGGTTTCTAAATGCAAATTGAGATAAACTTAACGATCAAAAATCCAGATAATCAGTGGTAAAGTGGCTAACTTCAGCACTTGAGGTGAAGTACAATGTAAATTCCTCAAGAATGCAAAGACAAAATTTCGATGAAAGAGGCTAGTCTGCTGATTTATGCCTAATGCGCAACACTTGAGAAGCTTCGTTCGACTGTGCAGCAGTTACACCTCTCTTCATTTTATAGTCTAACTGTTAATTTATCAGAAAATACGCTTGGCTAAAGACAACTACGCTTGAATGCCTCGTTAATGCATAAGCTAACATAAGCATAAATGAGAAATATGAAAACATTCAGTCACCAGAATTATAGTCATACAGCTACGATCACAGGCATGTAAAAAATGTTATCTCTATCCAAGTCTAATAACTTACCGGCATACCGAATCGATTGACCACTAATCGTAATGCTTCATCCACCTCCAAATTTGACATATTTAAAGTCTTCAGAAGTAACCTAAATGTAAATATCATGAAAAATTGAATTAAGTGAAATGTATGGATGAGGAAATGAGATACAAAGTTTATTAAGGTGTTCGCATTCCAGTTAATTCAACTAAATTAACACAAAAGTTGTCAATACACGAGATTTGTTATTGAATAAACATTTAGAACTAATAGTCCATGAAGGTGAGTGCTGATTATCCACTTCTAATTGGTCTTTGAAAGAATCCCGCGAAACTTTTAACTCTACATGTTTGATTTCAGATGTTTCCTACACTTTTCCAAAGAGTAGGCAACTATTACTACTTATCTATGCAAAAAACCTACTAATAAATCACTCGAAATGCCGAAATTAATAAACTTATTCTCTCTTCCTTGAATTGGTTAGTCAATTAACGTGACTACAGATTTCTAATGCCTAAAGTGTCTGAAATATTTGTTACACATGTCTAAAAATAGCTAAAAACAAGATACCATTTCAAAACAAATAGAAGTCAGAAGAAAGAGTAGTAGCCAGGACGAGACATACCGCTAATCTATAAATCCTCTAACTACTAACATTGACAGTGTATTATGGTTACTTTCTAGTGTTCATGTGATCTAAACAACCTACAGAAAGAGGATATAGGTGAAATATACCTCTAAATCAATGGATATCGAGCGGGTGACATCATTTATGATTGTAAATAATAGTTTCTCTGTTCACCAAAATATAGAATGCACATTTCGTCTTACTTATTACTTGTTATCTGAAAGTGCATGCAATCTCAACACTGTGATAGTGGTCCCATTGACACTGGGACGCAACATCTGTCATTTCACCCCATCCCCGGAGAGTTATTGACTAAGCCATGACAGCCACCTATTGTGCAACAAGCATCAGTTATTATTTGTCAAAGTTAACTTTGGCTGATTATATTGGACTGTAATCAATCAACGGGAAAAACAAAATAAGCAAGTGTTAACTTGCAAGGATTCGACTGTTTGCAGGTTTCATCACGAGTTAATACCAGTTACAGAATTACTAGAAAACCAAAGAGTAGTTGGCAGCTGTTTCGTCCTAGTCTGGGACTCTTTGAAGGTACGCGCCCACCACCAGAGTTGGAGCCCAGGACCCTCTGGTTACATGGAGAGTTAGCAGACCATTCAACCACTGGACCCAGATACGATCGCTCATGAATTCCAACTCTTGTCAATTCGCGATATATATATATTTATATATATATATATATAGCGCCACCGCCAGTATGTATCGTAAGCGAGTACCTGATCTCTTACCTGACTCCTTGGTAAACAGTCCAAAACTAGGACTAAACAGCTGTACAATACTCCCTGGTTTCCTAATGGTTCTTAAACTGATGTCAACTCGTGATCGACCCGCAACCGATTGAATCCTTGCAAACTTAAACCTGATAACTTTCTGTTTCCCGCTGGTGTCCACTAGTGACTAGCTCTGTGTAGGAACTTCCTGTAGTTCTGCAGAAAAGCCGTAACCAGAGGATTCCATCAAGTCAGGTAAGGGACCAGTTACTAGACAGTGATACTGGCTGGAAATTTAGATAGAAATTTAGATAGACCAGTGATTTAGATATGACAGAAGATTTGTAGCTCAGGTGGATGATTTTGATGTGGTTTTTGTTTTCTGAGCTGGATTTGCGAAGCTTTCATCACTCTACAGGGTGACATCTTCAGCGAATACTTCAATTTGAAGTCTTGACTTCAAATTAAAGTATGTAGGGTGATGAAAGCTTCGCAAATTAACCATCCAGCTCAGAGAACAAAAACCACATCAAAAAAAGATCAGTGATTTAAACAGGCCATCATAATAAATGTCTACCTGTTTCTTTCTAACCTAAATACTGTCGATTAAGTTCCTATTCACACTAAATGGTTCCTCCACATTTAAAAACAACCGCATCAGACACGAAGTTATAAATAAACAGGGATTGCTCATCATAGTCGGAGAGCAGCTATACTGTTCTAGATGATACACAAACGTTACAACATTGTCTAATCGAATTACACTCTCCTGATTTAAACTTACCACTCCCGAAAAGTTGAAAAGTCATTATGATATTTAGATTGAAGTATGTCAACAACTTGATAGCATAACCTGCAATCAGAAAACTATCAAAATACTTGTATCTTATATAGTAATTGCTGATATAAGTGGTTGGACACACTGTAGTGCTTGTTAGTCAACTCCAAGCGATCTAAACTCGAGACAGCCGTTTTACTGCTTTGAAAGTGAGCTCATCAACAACATACCAGTTTATGATCATTTCAAACTATCTGAATTTTGTTTTAGTCAGCAAATAAAGAATCTTCATCTGCTACCACTAACTTATTGACTGACTGACTAACTGACTGAGTTCCAGCATAAAACTTTACACAAGAATGCAGGAGTTAAATCTGTCACTTTCTTTGTGCCGCGCGAAGGTAGACAAAAAAGAAAAAAGAGGATGAAAAGTATCAAAATAAGCAGAAATGTGAGGAAGGAAGAATAGTAACATGGAATAACAGTAGGGTTTAATTGATATGAGAGATCATAAAGAGTGAATGCATCTACACTACTGGGAATGATTTTGAGCCATATCTCCAACACTCTCAATTTATTGGCCCTTAGCAACTCGAGGATCTCAACCAGGCAATCTACACCTCCTAACGTGTCTGACTAAAATCAACAGTCAAAGACGTGATGGATGCATTCCTTGTTTTGGTTTGACCACTTCTAACTCTCATACAACCCAATCCTGTGTCAGCTAACACTGCTTGTAGAGAAAGGCAATGGCTCGGCATGCACAACACAAATCTTAGCCGTCACAACTGATGCACTTTTACACCCTCATCAGCTAACTTACTTTCCTAACTTAACAATTGATGCCTAACTTCAGTATTGATCACCGTATTATCCTACTTAACACGGGAGATAGAACTCAGACGGCTACGATTACACCACAACCTATGATATAAAGTAGTTTTATTGCGAGCCAAATTAATCCAGCATACTTATATATATATACGCATTTCTGTTTACTGCATTCGTAAAGGTACACAATACCAACTTCAAATATATTACAAGTCTGATTCTATCAATCAAAAGTGCCCCGGTTTTGTAAATTAAATTAAAAATCAGAAAAGAAAAACAATAAATTTGTATTCTTATTTTCAAAAAGCATAAAGAACAGGCTGACACCATAAAGGGTAAATGGAATGTGAAAAAGTTTTCAATTTATTCCAAAGCCTTCGGAATATGGAAAGTTGCGAATGATTCAAAAAAGCCAAACTTTTCACAATAACCGTCAATGCAATGAGTCACTTGCACCAACATGACTTTCCCACCTAGTAGATTTGCCATCCTACTGTTTTAACCCTTATTCCCAACTAAAACCACTATGAAATGAGACCACTAACACAGAGAGCAAAGCAGAAAGAAAGGAAGATGTTCTGTTGATAGGTTTTGAATGACCTTGAGGGGACGTTTCCTCGATAAGCTGGCGCAATTGACAACCGTTAGAGTTCAGCTGGCCTAAGGTGAAAATATAGAAATCATGGTACCTTTAGTAAACGCAGTAGTTGTAGACTTCGAGAAATTTCGGTGAATATAACAAAACCAAAAGTCATAAACTCAGATGGTTATTTTGGTCTCATAGAGCAAATGAAGTAGAAATACGTAAATCCTTCAACTAATCTAACAAAAGTCCCTACAAAACCAATACTTGAAAACTGATCTGATACTGACTAGGAACTGGCTCTATTCAGGCAGTTACCTTGGGCTCTAGTGGAAAGCCATGATCAGTAGGGTAAAGCAGCTCGAAGAAGACACTGAGAAGTTGTCGCGCTATGACGCAAATTGGCAGAAATTAGAATTCATGGTCTGCCCATTGGATTGCATCTCAGTGGCTTAATGGTCTACGAGCTCGCCTTGTAACCAGAAGGTCCCGGGTTCGAACCCTGGCAGTGAGTGCGTACTGCTGAAGACCCCCGAGCACTAGGACGAAATATTCGTCTGGCCAGTACTCCCAGGTATTCCAATGGTTCTCTAACTGATGTCAGATCATGATGAAATCCTCCATCCAATCAAACTAAATCCCTACAAAACCAATACTTGAAAATATTATATTAATCCACGGTTTAGGTTTATGAAACTGGGAAAATGAAAGTCGATGACAACGAAATGAATAAACGCTATAGTTTCAGCTATTTACATTTATTTACCACAATGGTAATATAGCATATACATATGTTCACTTCAAACTAGTTATTTGTTTAAGAATTGGCAATCCGCTGCCTAGATATATTCTTAATTTGGTAGTATAACCTACAGATGAGAGTAAATGCTCTTGAACTACAAATACGAGTCAGAGGTGTGTGTCATGATAGTTCCCAACCTTTTTATATATGTTAGTTATATATGTTACCTATAATTTACCGTAAAACAGCTCCTAGTTGCCCGGAAAAAACATTTCCAAGTATTGGTTCACAAGGATTTTAGTGACTTAAAGATTGATCACAAAGCGACTTCATTCAGCCGGGGAGCACTGGACAGCTGTTTCATCTTCGCCTGGGACTCCTCAGTAGTACGCCTCCGTAACCTCATCGAAGACTGAATCTAGGATTCAGCCACCAAGATAGAATCTAATGACCCAGTGACTGAATGGTCAACCAGCCTACGTCGTAACTTGAAAGTTCTGATTTTGATCCCTTACGGGATCATGCGTGTGCACCTCTGAAGATTCCCAAACAAAGATGAAACAGCTGACCAGTACTCCTTAGCTTTCAATGGTTCTCTAAATGAAGTCAGCTGATGTTCACTCCAGAGAAATATTTCCCTTTTGTATTATACTTCAACTGCGTTAAAGTTATTTGGCTATGAAATAGGAAAAAAAGCCAGCTACTACCAATGACAAACTTCAACAGGGACAAGAATGATTTTTTATTTTCGTATCTCATATATTATAGGCTAAACTTTGATCATAACATCAATGAAACAGATATATATTTTTGTTTACT